CATCTATCACATATATCATGTAACAGGCCCCATCTCCTTCACATATATATCATGTAACAGGCCCCACCTCTATCACATATATCATGTAACAGGCCCCCACCTCTATCACATATATCATGTAACAGTTCCCACCTCTAACACATATATATCATGTAACAGGCCCCATCTCCTTCACATATATCATGTAACAGGCCCCATCTCCTTCACATAAATCATGTAACAGGCCCCACCTCTATCACATACATCATGTAACAGGCTCCATCTCTATCACATATATCATGTAACAGGTCCCACCTCTATCACAAATATCATGTAACAGTTCCCACCTCTAACACATATATCATGTAACAGGCCCCATCTCTATCACATATATCATGTAACAGGCCCCATCTCCTTCACATAAATCATGTAACAGGCCCCACCTCTATCACATATATCATGTAACAGGCCCCACCTCTATCACATATATCATGTAACAGGCCCCACCTCTATCACATAAATCATGTAACAGGCCCCACCTCTATCACATATATCCTGTAACAGGCCCCACCTCTATCTAATATATCATGTAACAGGCCCCACCTCTATCACATATATCATGTAACAGGACCCGCCTCTATCACAAATATCATGTAACAGTTCCCACCTCTAACACATATATCATGTAACAGGCCCCATCTCTATCACATATATCATGTAACAGGCCCCATCTCCTTCACATAAATCATGTAACAGGCCCCACCTCTATCACATATATCATGTAACAGGCCCCACCTCTATCACATATATCATGTAACAGGCCCCACCTCTATCACATACATCATGTAACAGGCCCCACCTCTGTCTAATACATCATGTAACAGGCCCCACCTCTATCCGATATATGTTATAGGCCTCACCTCTATCACATAATATCATGTAATAGGCCGCACGTCTATGCAACATTCAAGCAACACATAACGTCAGTTAAACATTTACTTTTATTTATAATTTAGACATGAGACATTTCATGAGAACAATCACCTTCAGGACATCTGCGGTCAACTCGGGCGTTACGATCACCGAGACGCTTATGCCTGGCCTGTAGTTGTGACACACCCTGGAACCACTCTGGGTACTGACGGAGACGTAGGGTACTTGGAATGTAGGAAATGCCAGGTGGTCGTGAGGTCCAATGGCTGCATACCCATCATGGAATATTTTGTCGATGTAATGCTTCACATCTTCATGAACGTCAATTCCTCCTTTGACTTCATCTATACCTGCGTCTACTTTTAACATCATGATCAACCTGTTGCACGATGATCTTGTCCTCGCCTACTCTTGCCCAGATTTTTTCCTTTGTGGCATTTGCTATGTGCGTTAAGTGCGCCGTTGCATAATTAGCCATGATTTCAGTTCACTGTTCTCCTACAGATAAATGTTCTCGCTGACAAGTGCTGGGTGGGGGTTTCTTCGGGGTTTCTACGCTTTATACATGCGTGTTATTTCCTGAACACATACCCTGGTACAGGTGACTATTTCTCGCCGCTTTTAGACAAGTTCCAGCAATGTCACGATGGAGAACACCAGAAATGGACTTCATTCATTGTACCCATGTGGGAATCAAACCCGGGTCTTCAGCGTGACGAGCGAGGGGCTTTAAACACTGGGCTACCCACGGCCCCCATTCCATTCTATAACCTGGACTCTATACATGGTATTTATAACTTCTACCCTTGTATTGAAGCAAAGAAAGACTGTAAGCGCAAATGGCGTTGCGCACACAGTAGGGTGTCCGCCTACGCGAACTGCTCTTTCTCGAGAAATAGTCACCTGTACCAGGGTATGTGTTCAGGAAATAACACGCATGTATAAAGCGTAGAAACCCCGAACAGTGCCTCTCACCTCGTCACCCAGCACTTGTCAGCGAGAACATTTATCTGTAGAAGAACAGTGAACTGGAAATCATGGCTAATTATGCAGCGGCGCACTTAACGCAATATAGCAAATGCCACAAAGGAAAAAATCTGGGCAAGAGTAGGGCGAGGACAAGATCATCGTGCAACAGGTTGATCATGATGTTAAAGTAGACGCAGGTATAGATGAAGTCAAAGGAGGAATTGACGTTCATGAAGATGTGAAGCATTACATCGACAAAAATATTCCATGATGGGTATGCAGCCATTGGACCTCACGACCACCTGGCATTTCCATTCCAAGTACCCATTACCGTCTCCGTCAGTACCCAGAGTGGTTCCAGGGTGTGTCATAACTACAGGCCAGGCATAAGCGTCTCGGTGATCGTAACGCCCGAGTTGACCGCAGATGTCCTGAAGGTGATTGTTCTCATGAAATGTCTCATCGTCTAAATTATAAATAAAAGTAAATGTTTAACTGACGTTATGTGTTGCTTGAATGTTGCATAGACGTGCGGCCTATTACATGATATTATGTGTTCGAGGTGGGGCCTGTTACATGATTTATGTGATAGAGATGGGGCCTGTTACATGATATATGTGATAGAGGTGGGGCCTGTTACATGATGTATGTGTGATAGAGGTGGGGCCTGTTACATGATATATGTGATAGAGGTGGGGCCTGTTACATGATATATGTGTTAGAGGTGGGGCCTGTTACATGATGTATGTGATAGAGGTGGGGCCTGTTACATGATATATGTGATAGAGGTGGGGCCTGTTACATGATATATGTGATAGAGGTGGGGCCTGTTACATGATATATGTGATAGAGGTGGGGCCTGTTACATGATATATGTGATAGAGAGGTGGGGCCTGTTACATTATATATGTGATAGAGGTGGGGCCTGTTACATGATATATGTGATAGAGATGGAGCCTGTTACATGATATATTAGATAGAGGTGGGGCCTGTTACATGATATATGTGATAGAGGTGGGGCCTGTTACATGATATATGTGATAGAGGTGGGGCCTGTTACATGATATATTAGATAGAGGTGGGGCCTGTTACATGATATATGTGATAGAGATGGAGCCTGTTACATGATATATGTGATAGAGGTGGGTCCTGTTACATGATATATGTGATAGAGGTGGGTCCTGTTACATGATATATGTGATAGAGGTGGGGCCTGTTACATGATATATGTGATAGAGGTGGGGACTGTTACATGATATATTAGATAGAGGTGGGGCCTGTTACATGATATATGTGATAGAGGTGGGGCCTGTTACATGATATATGTGATAGAGGTGGGGCCTGTTACATGATATATGTGATAGAGGTGGGGCCTGTTACATTATATATCGGACTGACGGGGTCTTTTGCTGCTTAGTATATTGTCGACAGTACTTTAGGTAAGATATGATAATGCTGGTCTTCTTGTGTTTTGAGATGAAATGAGAGATATACCCTAAAAAGTATCCAGTTTCTGCAATTCTCTAGGTCAGAGTATAGGGTTGTTGTACTCTAAATGTAGCACAGTCATATATAGCACACCCCTGTCCCTCACTGACTATCACATGTACAATTATCTCATTTGGAACATACACAACAAATTACACTTCCACATAACAGTGGGCATGGAGGTAACTCATTTGTGTGTTCTGCCTAACCACGTCTATGATCTGACCACAAAACATGAGCTGTTGTCCCATAGCATTAACTCTGAACAAACAACGCCCCGTAAACTAAATATGTTTTGAATTTGAACAGGTATAAATAAAGTGCAAAGGTCTCTCTCTTTCTCTCTCTCTTTCTCTCTCTCTTTCTCTCACTCACTCACTCACTCACTCACACACACATCCACACGCATACAGAGCCACAAGCACACACAGACGTATATCAGGACGCGCACGCGCGCACGCACGCACATACACATACATACAGGGCAACCATACACACAACCACACACGCATATATGCGCGCTGCTACACATACACACACAGTCGCAGTCACTCACAAACTCACAAACACACACACAGGGCAGAAAAACACATGTGACGTCTGATTTCTCGGCAGTGCTGATTTTATGCACTATTTTCAGTGCACTATATGTAGTGTTCCTCTCACGCAATAAAAGTACGTCTGAATACTTCGTGAGACCCTCAGTTCTTTACTCCCATTAAAAGCTAACTCATAGAAAAGTGCGCTTTGTTAAATAACTTCAATGATTCTCGGGAATGGGACTCGGGTCTTATGGACCATAAACATGTCTACAATATTTAGACGTCAAATTCCTGAACCGGGACGGGTACTTGGTTTGTGATTAGAATCTAAATACGTTTTATAGCAGTGAATGATAACCGCCGGCGGTAGATAAACAGCGTAAGCTCCGCACAACAATCAACTAGAAAACATTTCAATGAACATAATACCAGCTGATTTACCTGTAATTGTTCATGTGGGCAGATTGCATATCTATGTGATCCTATCCCTTTTATACTCCTCGGCATTTTTACTGCAGCATTTCTAAGGAAGGCTAGCTGTTCTACAGCGCACCCATCGTAGAGGATATAAGCGTAAACGCATACGTTATTGAGGAAAGCGTACGTCTTATAAGCAGGTGCAAAATGTCACGTAAAATCAATCTATTCTGACTGACTGACTGAGTTTGGTTTTACGCCGCTTTTAGCAATATTCCAGCAACATCACGGCGGGGACACCAGAAATGGGCTTCACACATTTTACCCATGTGGGGATTCGAACCCGGGTCTTCGGCGTGACGAGCCAACGCTTTAACCACTAGACTACCCGACCGCCCCCAATCTATTCTGAACGTATATATACATGTTGTGTTACACCTAACATGTTACTGAAGATTTCTAACACATTATTCATTAAACTTTCTCCAGAATCTAGCATTTTGCCACTCGGGATTCGAAGTCACGCTGGCTGAGTGGGTTAGACGGCTGACTGTGTGCTGGCGATTAGGAAAGAGAGAGATAGAAGGATGGAGAGTTTATCATCGGTTATTTATTGTATTGTAGATAACACACTTAGATGATAACAACATGATAACATGATTGCAACGACCAACACATCGAGGTGTACACGAGTCCCTGCACACGGAGGCCGGAAGTATCTCTACTGTAGTCAACTATTCCCTGACCCCCAAAACGTAGTGAACTGTCTTAATCGTCCTCATCAGCAGCCGAAGTACCTCGTGTGTAAAAATTTGGTACGTATGTGTAACTTTAGTTATTCCTGGTAAAGATATTTTCTGACCTAAATGATAGGATAACTTAGTGTCAGCGAGTTTTACAGTTTTGTGTGTGTGTGTAGAATCAGACATGGGACCTTTTATCTAGACATGTTGGACACGTCAGGAGTGAGTCACTGTGTGAGTGAGTGAGTGAGTGAGCAATATTCCAGCTATATGGCGGCGGTCTGTAAATAATCGAGACTGGACCAGACAATTCGGTGATCAACAGCATGAGCATCGATTTACTCAACACGGATACGATGACATGTGTCAACCCAGTCAGCGAGCCTGAACACTCGATCCCGTTAGTCGCCTCTTACGACAAGCATGGTTTACTGAAGATCAATTCTAACCCGGATCTTCACGGGTATTTGGACACGTTAAGATGAATGGAAACTAACTGGGAATGGTTCAATTCACGTATTGAGAAAGTTTAAAATTGTTAAATTAACGTACTGGGAAAGCTGAATGAACGTATTGGGAAAATGAGTGAGTGAGTGATTATCGTTTTACGCCGCTTTTAGCAATATTCCAGTAATATCACGGCAGGGAACACCAGAAATGCGCGTCACACATGGTACCCATGTATTATTGTGAAAGTAATGAAATAATTGAATAAACGTAAATGAGAAAATTAAAATTAAAATTAAAATTATGAGTAAATTTATGACACAGCAGCTGAATGAACGTATTGCACTAGTTACGAATTATTAAATTAACTCATTGGGAAAGATATGAAATAGCTGAATGAACTTACTGGGTGTGTTAGGGAAATAACCGAATGAACTTTTGGGAAAATGTAACGCAAATAATTGAATGAAACTTTTGGAACGTAAAACAGTAATTGAAAAGACATATAATGAAGGGACAGCACCAACCGACTTAAGTTTTCCTATAAATACTGGAAAGTGAAAAATGTACAAAGTACCGTGACTAAGTGTCCCAGTCCACCCAGCTGTGAATGGGTACCTCGTTAGGATGGGAAAGCCACAATAACTTGCACGACTTGTAATGTGCTGTTGAGATTGACATCCAATGATTGATGGAATAACAAGGCGTTTTGAGCATGCATGTAGATGGGAAGGACTATAGCGCTATTTAAATACCTATATAATAATATAATATATCACTTGTGGTTGAACGCACCTGTTGTGAGCGATAGTTGAATATTAATATAATACCGTAACTGTATAGAGCTTACTAGTACCTACAGCGTATTAAACAAAGATGTATATTTCAGGATCGAACAGTATCCACAACAACAAAATGATTTGGTACTTGGACTGACCATCCCGTTGATGTTGCTAGCCGTTCCAAGTGCTCACAGTGACGGCAGAGTGTGCATGAAAACAGGTGCTTGCACGTGCGAGACGTTAGATGGGAAAATAGACCTCGGTGCACTGGATAGTCAAATCGATAAACCTCGGTAAAGGGACTTTTCATCGAAATAAGAATAAAATATCCATACAAATCTGTTTTTTCACTCACGTCATTGATAAACATCAAGTGTTTAAGTAACATTTGAATCTTATGCAAATAAGGACACATGTACCGATGGATTGGTAGAATCTGACTCTTTACGGTTATATATTGTTTATTGATACTTTATATAACATGTTTATGATCAGTGTATGAAATAAGGCACGTCCGACCACCCAGAACGGTCTAGACTTTGACGGACGGTCTAAATTTACAGCTAGCCACCCCGATGGTCTGGTAAAATTTTGTGATGTTCCATACATCTGAGCATATTTGAATCTGGTTAAAACCAAACATCCAGCCCTGATGTCTGGCTGGATTTTTTGGCTTATTTCATATACTGTTATGCTATTAAGACGTTCATGCTGGCGATGTCAACGTTTACTGCAGGTTCTTCAACATGTCGGCGACTGACGATCCCTTCTACTACTCCTGGAATCCATGTTCGGGACTTCTCTCCCAACACCAGCTTCGTCTGTGCCAGCGTCGCGGTGAGGCAGCTCTAGAAACTCATAGTTGGCAAAACACACTCATACCTTTCTTCTAAGCCGGGGCACTGATAGCCTGCAGTAGCCTGTGTGTAGAGTGACGTCACATGGGCATGTCATGATCTGGGTTCATGTCTAAAAATTCGCTCTGATCGTGGTATGTGAGCACCATACTCCTGCTAGTGGGTATTCCAAAGTGGAGGGCGGATGGTGGGATAGCCTAGTGGTTAAAGCGTCCGCTCGTCGCTGCTGAAAACCCGGTTCGATTCCCCTATGGGTATAATGTATGATGCCCATTTATGGTGTCCCCGGGCGTGTTATTGCAGAAAAATTGCTAAAAGCGGCGTAAAATCATACTCACTCACTCACTCCAAATCGGAGAAGACCTGCTGACAGAAACAACAGTATAACTGATATAGTGTTTAACTAGGGGTGACATCCGACTGCTAGCTACAGTGTCTGGTTACACATAGCTTACTGCGCGTCATCGTACCCAGGGCCCACTCGTAGCTGCGACAGCGTAACATAGATTTACGAAGCACTAAGACAGCTTTGTCCATATGGGCCCTCACGTCATGTTCATGCAGTCGCCCACTGGTTCACCTGACCTCGACCTTCTCGAGCCGCCGTCATACAACAAAAGGCTGGCCAATGGCGGCGTTAAGAGCCCTCACGCAGACTTATCTCTCACACACTATGACAGGTTCTTTATCGTGAACAGTATTCAAGATTTCCGGCACATCATCCCCCTCTGAATATAATGTTAAACAAAGATGTCAAACGTTACATTTCTTATTTGAGGACGTGAAATTAATTCCAAATATATATTTCTTATGAAATACAGACACATGGTCTAAGAGATTGTTTTACAGTGAAAGTTTCAAACTGAGCAATGCCGTACATCATATTCTGGTTGCATGTATTCAGTGAGTGGTATTACGTTTCAGATTTGCCAGGGGTACTTCAGCGGTGCGACAGGCCCTGTTTACTTCAGCCTGGGGTCACAGGCTGAGATCCAGTTTGAGTACGATGACACGGATACTCTCAGCATGCAGTATGTTCACCGATACTTGAACGTAACCAGGTGAGTTTCTCTACCTGAGTGATGGGCAGTGTCCGCTATTAACGCAATGATATTGATAAAGGGGCATAACTCTGTACAAATGAGTACTGTTGTTAAGTTGATAATCTGAAACACAATTATCCGGTTAAACGAAGCCTCCACTGACTGTCACACTGTTGGTCCATTGGGAAGTGTGTGTGTGTGTGTGTGTGTTTGCGTGCGTGCGTGCGTGCGTGCGTGCGTGAAGGGTGCGCATACCTCCTGTTTCCTGAGTTTATTAAATGATCATTGAAACTCTCGTGATAACGGGTGAAAATGAAGTGCGCCCCTCACTTTCTCAAAGGTGTGCACCCTTCTTTCTCAAAAAGCTGTATCCGCCCCTGGTGTTTCCTGCGGGAAATGTTGCCGTGATGTTGCTATGGCTACATGATACCACGTGTGTCTCCCCGCAGACTGACGGTGATCCGGCTGGTGTGTGACGCGACCACGGAGGGAGACCTGACGGTACAAGGACAACTCAAGTCAACGCTGCCGCTTTACGTGAGTGTCACGGGGACAGTACGTGTCACGTGCACCATCCTCGGTATATCTACATTTCATTATGATGAAGACCCGTGAAGATCCCGGTTAGAATTGGTCTTCAGCAACCCATGCTTATCGTTAGACGCGGGATGGTGGTCAGGCTCGCTGACTTGGTTGACACGTGTCATCGTATCCCAATTGCGTTGATCGATGTTCATGCTGTTGATCACTGGATTGTCTGGTCCAGACTCGATTATTTACAGACCGCCGCCGTATAGCTGGAATATTGCTGAGTGCGGCGTTAAACAACAAACCAACCAACCAATCATTATGATGAAATGCCCCGACCCATTAACCACCATAGCAGCCAGAAGTGAAACCAACGGGTATTCAGAAACATAATTTGGGCGAACTGAGATTCGAACTCAAGATCATAGCTTCAAGGGTATAACGGATGCAGCTTGACCACATGGCTACACTCGTGATCTGTTGTGTGTAAAGCTGAAATGTTTAACTTATGAACATAAACATGTTTTACTCACAATGGCGTTTCTTACAATTCGTACAGAACTTCGAACTGAGGAGCAAGTACGCATGCGTGGTTCCCTTCCCAACAACATCACCACCACTTACCGTTTCCAAGGAGACACGTGGTCCTCCCACAACAACGCCATCTCCCCAAATCCGGGATCTCAACGCCATCGTCGTGCTTCTGACCCGCCTATTGTAAGAACCTAACCTATTGGATGATCGGATCAGAATATACGTAGATATTGGTCGTAACGTTACATGCATCAGTTCAGCAAGGTTGACTGAAGCCCCCATTGCCATGCTAAAACATACATGTCCATATTACGAGTCACGGGTCAAAAAGGCTAATCAACTAACTCTAACTGGCCTGTGAAAACAAACTCCTTTTTGTGAAAACAGACAGATCATTTATGTAAAAACAACCAATGTATTATAGTTAAATCATCGTCAAATATTCTTGTCCGAACGGCCAGAACTCTGTCATGGTCAAAACACTAAAATATGTCTATGTAAGAACCAAATATCCATATGAGAACAGCCAAATAGCCATAAGAGAACAGCCAAGTAGCCAAAACACATCGTAACAGCTAAAGAGCCAAACAGCCACAGGAGGAACAGGGTTTTAAACGTACTGAACATATACAAACATACAATATTTTACAGTGTAACATGACTGTCTGTCAAGCAGACTCGCTATGATGTTACTGAAATATATTGAAATACTGTTGAACCAGAACACAACCCAGTAGTTAAAGTGTTCGCTCGTCACGCCGAAGACCCGGGTTCGATTTCCCACATGGGTACAATGTGTGAAGCCCATTTCTGGTGTCCCCCGCTATGGTTATGCTGTAATATTGCTAAAAGCGGCGTTAAACCATACTCGCTCACTCATCCACTGCCTGACCTGAGTGAACATTCTTCCACATCAAGCAGAGACGCGATGTCGTAACTGACTAGGTTCACAGCAGCGTCAAACCCTACACACTCACTCACTTCACTGCAGAACTATTCACTCACCCACCAGTCCTACTGGGTACAATTCCATCAGTATTATCGAAAACACCAATGGGCTTCACATTGTACATATTCGGGGAATCGAACCTAGGCCTACGGCGTGCTGAGCAAACGCTTTCACCATTAGGTTTCCAATGCCTCTTCTTCAACATGGAGATTATATGTCAAGTGGGTTTGTGCATCTGTATTGGTTGCAATAACAATTAGTGTAAAGTAAAACTGAATAATAATTTCTGAATACTGTTTTGGTACGTTTGGAACTAAGACGACTAATGATCATGAACACCTTCGTATTCACTTCTCCAGTTTTGAGCAGAAAGACAATATAGTGTAGTGGGTTTAACGCCTGTTTTCCAGTCGTATGTTTGATGTGGGAGGAATGCCCTACTTGGTGAAACAATCAAGAACGGTGATGACAAAACTGGAATTCAAAACATAGTCTATATGCAGTTTCCTGTAAAATGTGGGTATGAAATATTTCAAACATACACCTCTGTGTTTCAGTGTGGGCGTTTGTGTAGTGGCATTCCTTCAGTTGGCGCTCATCTGTATCCTTCTGTGCAAGCTCCCCAACACATACAGCAAGCTTCCAGCAGGACGCACCTGCTAGCACCCATCACAAGGCGAAGTATTGACACGGACAATCATAGTGTTGATTGGTTAACGTGTAACATATAGAATGTCCAGAAACTAATTTCAAAATCGTGATATCAATCATAAAGTTTAATATCAATCTTAAGGGAAGAGTGTAAAAAATAATAATACTTATCTTAAGCCGGATGGTGCAGGAATCTAATATGAACACAATTAACAAAAGCCTAAACAGGTGTCCAGACAAACTGCATTGTTTGCATTAAGGACATGCTCCTCAGTAGGACACATTAAAACAATCAATTGATTTCATGACATTTGATAACCTAAGCAAAACTTGTTTGCATTGTATTTACGACACGCCCACAAGCAGTCTGTTTCAAGTCAAGTATGGGCGGGACTTGAGCCTCCTTACTGCAGTGCCCTGGGGTCCAGCGATTCCCATTGTCTACAGTGCTTTGTGTTCCTGATTAAACTGGCAGTCTGGGAAGTCACCGACTCAGTTGTGTTTATAAACTGACTTCAGCCTTCCGGCCCTTGTGGAGGTATGAACGCTGGCACCCTCGATTACCCAGTATATCATATTCCTTCTACGTCATGAGTAAGTGAGCGAGTTTAGTTTTACGACGCATTTAGCAATATTCAAGCTATATCACGGCGGGGGACACCAGAAATGGGCTTCTCACATAGTACCCATGTGGGGAATCGAACTCGGGTCTTCAGCGTGACGAGCGAACGCTCTAACAACTAGGCTACCGCAATCGCCCCTCTGTCATGAACACAAGCCAAGTAATAGCTGGGTTCTTCACAAATTGAGGTGGGTAATTCATGCTGTGGTCAGACCTTCACCTCAAATAGCCTCATTAGTCAAGTGTTCTTGCTGTTAAGGCTAGTTCTACCCAACCCTGATAAGACCTTTCCACCAATTACTGAGACAACCCCTTCACCTCGGCTCAGGTGTCGGATATACCCTCATACTTTGGAACAGAGGACAGTGTGACCAGGCAGAACATTGGATTCATTTCCAGGACAAATACAGCTGAAACAATTGCCTTTGAAATAAAACAATTGTATGTCCAAGTTCTAAAACTCATCGTTTAAGATCTTACAACTTCGGCTCGTTATATTCTTTTACTAAATAGACACAACACGGTTTCACTGAATATAATCTGATTTTATTACAAAAAACTCTTGTATATCACACTTGCTACCCCGAATACTCCCAGGCATACTTCACATACTCCAGGGGATGGACTATCTTCGAGAACATCTTGCACGTACATCAGGATCCTGCACATACATCAGGATCCTGCACCAAGCTATCTCTTTCACTATTGGTCGATACAGCTATGATTATCATTTAACACTTATCTGCTCTGGGGGAAAAGAGACAACAACATGAGGGCACCCTTATAACCCAAGAGGACTAATTGGTTACAAAACGCAGAATGTGTTAATGATAGTTACTTTATAGGGAACTGACCCAGAATAGGACAGTTCACTCTGCTTGCTTGTCCACCCACAATATCACACAAGGACTAGCTGCTAATGGAAACCTTGTGGGAAATCAAACCAATCTCAGTCGGTATCATCATCTCCAGAGTCCATCAGAGTTCAATGATCAGTCTTCTCAGAAACTGTGCAAAACAATTCTGACTCACATTATCACACAACGGTGGTTCTGTGGAATTCCGTTAGAAGCCCATCCCTCCCATACCACCCATCTCTTCCATACCAGCCATCCCTCCCATACCACCCATGCCTCCAGCTGGTGCAGCTGGCTCCTCCTTGGGGATTTCCGTGACAACCACCTCTGCTGTGGTGAGAAGGGAGGCTACTCCTGCTGCATCAACAATTGCTGTCCTCACAACCTGTAACAGAAAACAGTGTAACTGTAATCATCCAGACTGTCCACAGAGCCTTGTTTGTTTCTTGCTTCATACCACACTCAGCAATATTCCACCGGCGGGGTCTGTAAACAATTGAGTCTGGACCAGATAATCCTGTGATGAAAATCACGAGCATCAATCTACTCAGTTTGATGACATGTGTCAATCAAGTCAGCGAGTCTGACCACCAGATCTCGATAGAGTCCTCTTGGCAAGCATGAATAGCTGAAGAGCAATTCTTAGCCAGATCGTCATGGGCGGTCACACAAAGGGCAAATGAATTGGCATTTAAGTGGGTATGTTCGTCCCATATTCTCTTGACCATGATACTCACCAATCATAATGTGCACTCACTCAAGGTGAGGCAGGCAATACACGTGACCTTTTAGCATTAGATGCACCAAACAACTGGGATCATTTCAAACTTATCTTCTTTCATTCAGAGCTGTTTAACATTACAGCATCCATATTAGTCGGCTCGTTCAGCAAGCATGACAGAGTATCTCTTTCACAGATCCTCTTACACCTAGCAAATACATACATTTTCACAAATGATAACACTTTGGCATTTTTGTGGTAAAATAAATAAATGAAGGAAACAAAATATTATAAAAGTATATCAATTACCTTTGTTGGGTCAATAATTCCCTTCTCGATGAGATTCCCAAACTCTCCATTGAGTGCATCATACCCGAAGTCTCCCTTCTCATTGAGGACCTTCTCCACTACGACGTGGGCTTCGACGCCAGCATTTAATGCAATGGTGAGACATGGCATCCTCAGGGCCTTGCGTACAATCTCAATACCTGGCAACAATGTACACAAAAGCTTTACACAATCCCAGATCAGCAAGAGGAAACAGTAAGGCAATTAGGAGTAGCTGTGATAACTGCCATGTAAAATTGATAATTTTTAACTAAAAAGAAAAGAAACTAATCTGTAAACTAATCCATAAATGAAACCTTTCAATCACAAACTGAAATATTTGACCATGTTCAAATAATCAGGTCTAAATGTCTACCAGAAGTTCAGAATGTTGTTTAGATTCCTGACATATTTCTGTTTACAAGATTTGCCTGTTTCACTTTATTCTATAATCATGTGAACATACTCAAGATTCTGCCCAAATCGTAACGTGAAGATCTCTGCCGACAGTCATCAATGTCAGTGAAGTAACTAGATTCTAACACCTACCTATTTTCTGGTCATTATTGTCGGGTTTAATTTCATCCAGTACAGGCATATATCTGAGCAGAGCGGTGCCGCCTCCCGCAACAATGCCCTCCTCCACAGCAGCATGGGTAGCATCTATCGGACAAGTGAACCTCTATCTGACAAGTGAACCCCTAACGCACAAGTGAACCCCTATCGGACAAGTAAACCTCTATATGACAAGTGAACCTCTATATGACAAGTGAACCTCTATCTGACAAGTAAACCTCTATCTGACAAGTGAACCTCAATATGACAAGTGAACCTCTATATGACATGTGAACCTCTATCTGACAAGTGAACCTCTCTCTGACAAGTAAACCTCTATATGACATGTGAATCTCTCTCTGACAAGTAAACCTCTATATGACAAGTGAACTTCTATATGACATGTGAACCTCTATATGACATGTGAAGCTCTATCTGATGAGTGAACCTCTATCTGACAAGTGAACCTCTATCTGACAAGTGAAGCTCTATATGACAAGTGAACCTCTATATGACATGTAAACCTCTATCTGACAAGTAGACCTCTATATGACAAGTGAACTTCTATATGACAAGTGAACCTCTATATGACATGTGAAGCTCTATCTGATGAGTGAACCCTTATCTGACAAGTGAACCTCTATCTGACAAGTGAACCCCTATATGACAAGTGAACTTCTGACAAGTGAACCTCTTCTGACAAGTGAACCTCTATCTGACAAGTGAACCTCTATCTGACATGTGAAACCCTATCTGACAAGTGAAGCCCTATCTGACAAGTGAAGCCCTATCTGACAAGTAAACCTATATCTGACAAGTGAACCCCTATATGACAAGTGAACCTCTACTTGACAAGTGAACCCCTATCTGACAAGTGAGCCTCTATCTGACAAGTAAACCCCTATCTGACAAGTAAACCTCTATCTGACAAGTAAACCTCTATCTGACATGTGAACCCCTATCTGACGAGTGAACCTCTATATGACATGTGAACCTCTATATGACAAGTGAACCTCTATATGACAAGTAAACATCCATATGACAAGTGAACCCCTATCTGGCAACTGAACCTCTATATGACATGTGAACCTCTATCTGACATGTGAACCTCTATCTGACATGTGAACCCCTATCTGACAAGTGAACCTCTATATGACATGTGAACCTCTATATGACATGTGAACCCCTATCTGACAAGTGAACCTCTATATGACTTGCAAGAGCATCCAAGTTATGAACCTGGATGCAACATGTGAACCAGGATCCAAGTCCTGAACCTGTACCTAGCCTCATCAGTAAAGAGACAGCGTGTTGACGGTGTCTCCAAGTAAACTGATTTGATTAGAGTTGATCTAGCACCACTGTGCACCTGAACAGTTACAGAACTGTGCAGGGTAGAAGAGTGCATTTCTGTTTGTTCCTTGCACTCCATCCTGGAATAAGACCACCCAACAGACCACAATAGTCGCCATGCACCAACCTTCAACACGGCCCTCCATCCTGGAATAAGACCACCCTACAGACCACAATAGTCGCCATGCACCAACCTTCAACACGGCCCTCCATCCTGGAATAAGACCACCCTACAGACCACAATAGTCGCCATGCACCAACCTTCAACATGGCCCTCCATCCTGGAATAAGACCACCCTACAGACCACAATAGTCTCCATGCACCAACCTTCAACACGGCCACTCCATTGGACAGCTTGGCAAGTCGTTCACTCAGTTTCTCTTTCTCATATTCCAATGTGCTCAGCTCGATCTCATCCTTGATTTGGGCCACTCGCTTCTCAATGTCAGCCTTGTCTCCCTTACCCTGGATAAACAAACACAACTGTAGCTTGGTGCTCCCTTACCCTGGATAAACAAACAACTGTAGCTTGGTGCTCCCTTACCCTGGGCAAACAAACCAAGAACTGTAGAACAAAGTCTCCCTTCTCAGACAGAAAGGGATAAAAGAATATGCCAGGTTGGGGTTGGGGGGTAGGTTCTTAATATAAAATATTCAGAAAGTATGGATGAGTGAGTGAGGGGTTTTATGCCGCTTTCAGCAATATTCCAGCTATATTGCAGCAGGGGACACCAGAAATGGACGTCACACAATGTACCCATGTGGGGAATCAAACCCGGGTCTTCTGCGTGACAAGCGAACGCCTGGAACCACTAGGTTACCCCACCGCCCCGAAAGTATGGATGAGAATTGATGTCAGAGGCCCAGATAAGCTGCGTATCCGGGTAAAATACGCATAGAAAATTTCCAATTACGCATTGAAAAGTAATTGTTGCATACCAATTACGCATTTAAAATGTTAGATACGCAAAAAGTTTAAAACAAATGCGTATGGAATATATTTATAAAAATCGCTTGCGTAATGAAAAGACATCGATTGCTATCAAGTTGTACTGTTAGTATAGGACAAGTGCTGTACTGTCCAGTTAGGATGAGTGATTTCATTTCCATTATATTTAAGTTGGTTTTGATTAGGTATGACATAAGGCAGAACATACCTGCTTTGTAAACCTTCTCAGTCACATAATACTTAGGTGAGTAAAATGACTGAAGTACGCACATGTTTGAAAGCAGTGGGTAACGGAAAATGAAATACCCACTCAACATTCATAATACCTACTCCAAAAAATACAGTGGGTACAGTACCCACATGAGCTAAATCTTATCTGGAGCTCTGGGATGTGTAACAATGTGCTGCAAGAGCTTTTGATTCAAACAAGACACAGCTGCACAATTGATATAATTCAGTATGGGACCTCCCCTTGTGACGCTCTATTTATCAGTTGTGATTTGTTCATCACCTGATCGCAGTCGTTGACACAACCTCGTTTCAGCGTTTTGTAAGCTGACAACTGAGGTTCTGCACGGCAGTCACACGACTCTCTCCTCACTGCTATCTCTCATTCAGCTGAACGCTTTGGATTCAACCAGGAATCGGGCAATGTCAAGAAAACACACCTTCTGACATTGTTCAAGTGCTGTTTTGTGTGACTGCTATCAGCGATTTTCTTTTACATTCAAAGGCAACTACTATGTGGTAAGCATTTTTCCATGCATGTTTATAGTTTATTATTTCTTTAAAACCATACATGTGTTGTGCTTTTTAGGATATGTGTCGTTCATTGTCCACATAGCCAATAACAGCAGTATGACGAAGTCACTGATGACGTAACTAGATATAATAACGTCAGTGCAATAGATTACCCAGTCCTGACTATTCTCACAAACATATTTCAGTTAGTGTAAAAGGCAAAATTGATGTTACAATTGCATATATTTCCCACGTGTTCGCAAAAGTGGCAACCGGCGTTCACACAATTTGATTATTAAAGTAAGTATTTACACCCTAATGCCGGAAAGCAGTTCAACTTCCTTGCAACGTCGGCTTGTAAATAAACCAGACAATCAAGTGATTGATGAGCAGGAAAATCCAGTTATTAAGTTTGAATTACGACTACTTTGTATAAAACCAGAAATTCCGATGCTTACAAGTACATAAAAACGTAATTCAGCAAGTTTGCCATCTCCTCTTCACCATCTGCCTCCATATACTCAACCTACATATACTAAAAGCCAATCGTATCTGTTAAGAACCCATCTCCGATCGTGCTGCACTTTGTTTTGCTGCTCTTCATTTAATTAGGCAACCTTTTGGGCATACGCACATCGTTGCATCCCACTCGTGCAAAACAATAGCTGTCTCTGAATAACAGACGGGTACTTCAATCTCTCTGCTAGGGTGAAAGGTGGCATTATAACCAGAGAAAACTGTAGATATGTACATGGCTTGGTGCTGAGTGAAATGAATATTTATTATATTCTTAAGGGTGAAATACTGTTAATATTTGAGAAAATAACATGGTATTTTCACTGAGTAGAATAACATGTTTTCCACTGAATAGAATATCACAAACAATGGCGGCTCTTCAAGTTTGTATGTATTAATACGCGCACTGATTGCATCTCCAGACAAATACTGAAGTATATTTGTTATTAAAGTTCTACATTTACTCGTCATATGAGTTTGTATTTCATAAAATATAACTACAAAAAGTAGAAACATGACATTAATTACTGTAGGATAAAAATATTAAGCGAACTATTTTGTGTGGGTCCAACATTGCTTAAGGGCTAGACTGCAGTTTGTTTGCATAATAAAATGCAGACATACTCGATGTCTCGATCATTTATAAACAATGATCAAAATATAATAAATAGAATATTTTGTTAAAGTTGTGAAGTAACATGTATATTTCATAGAGTGGTCAGACAAAGTTGATATGTTCACGAGTGGCGCAGACCACGTGATGAAATATACATGTTATTTGACAACATTAACAAAACATCCTCTATATATTTTATAAACAAATACAACAAATGACATGATCATGTGTTCATAATGCCCTATCAAGTTTGTCTGTAATAATCTGTTTCATTTAATGCTCAGTTCTTTCTTCTGTAGATTTCAAAATGTATTTTGAAGGAATTTATTGGACATTGAATGACCAAGAGTCGTTGCCCTACACTTATAATTCTGGTCGTTTAAGTCACATCTTCTACCTGAAGCATAACCTTCTCCGTGTTCCAGTGGATAGAGCTTCTGCATTTAGTGCTGAAAATCGGTGGTTAAATCCGCGGACGCGGCGATCGACACCAAGGGATTATTACGAGCCATCATACTGTGGATAATTAACATTTACGAAACCATTATCTTGCCATGGGGCTAACACAACCCAGGTCTTCAGCATAACAGCCATAATGAATTTGTACTAAAACATGATCTTTTGGGTAACCACGTTAGGCTTGGGTATGGTATCTCAGTGGATTTGCATAAAAAATCATCAGTGGGTTAGCACCAAAAATTAAACATTGGACAAGATAAGTAGAAGTGCGCGCACAGAACACGAAAGTTTTTGAAATGTATGAAATCATAAATGTATAAGATGTATGTTATAATTGTGAAGTGATTTGTCCTTCATTGTCACAGGTCGTTTACAGAAGCTGAAGACGCGGCCTAGGAGCTAAGTATATAGATCAATTCAATCTACAACGGAATTACAATACACAAAAACAGTAGCATGCAAACGCACTGTCATATGAGAGTAATGCTTATAGCATTAAAGACAATAATGGTAATATTCACTTTGTAGAAACAGTCAAGCTTCCTAAATAAGCATAGACTGAGTAGCCAGGGTGGAAAGTTTTCTTCACACAACTATTGGTCTTCTGGTAATGTGAGATGACTTAATCAAAGCCCTTCCTGAATCTTCTCGAACTCTGTGGGTAAGAGCACACAGGACTATCCCTAAATAGCCATAGAATCTAAATAGTCTTTTCTCTTACGGTTAATATAATATGAAGCCAAACGGTCAACAATTAGTCTTAAGACACTGATTGGCGACAGTGATCACTTCAGTTATGACAGGAATTTCGTCAAGCCAGATCATTTTACTCCTCGTCAACCTCCTAGACAGTGCCTTTGATAATCAGCTAGAAAATATTGTCCCTTGGAAGCATATGTAAGACCATATCATTATATTCCTACCACAAACGTAACCGTAGTATATGATGGCTAAACCCGCGTTAAAAAAGCAGTACTTTAAGGGATGGTGACTGATAACTTTAACAAATAATAAGGATTGAACAATAACTCGACTGTCACAGATGTTAGTTAAAAATAGGTTGGGAGCGGGTAAAAAGATCGAAATGTCGGCCACCATAGCCGGAATCAGGAAGACTACTGTGAACGTTCATCCCATAGTCCTGGAAACGCCGACCTCAAGGTTCAAGGCTTTCTACAGCTGACGCGACATCAGGTGTAGGTTAAAGAGGTAAAGGATGCATATGTGTCATGATATTAAATATACATAGAATAGAGGAATATACTGATTAGTAATCAGCCATCTGTGACCACATCATTAGCTGCCCTAAACTGATCATCATGTGGGACTATATAAGAATCTGGTGTTTGTTGACAAATTGTTAACATGTTAATAAATATTATTTTATCTGAAATGCTATTTCTTTTGCTTCCATATTACAAGCAAGCACAACACACTTGCATACATCTTAAATCGTGTAGCATTGTAGATACAGACTTTAACCCTTGAACATAGGCTCACGCCTCAGTGGCTAATGCTAATAACCTGGCTCACCAAGCCATAGTGCAATGTTGTCTTAACAAGACCTTTTGGTTAGACTCTGGCTAAATGAGAGTAAGTGGAAATATCCTCTTCTGAAACACATACGCTGACATCGATGAATCACAAATTGTGTTTGATTAATTTCAGCTCTGAGAATGGCCGCAATATAGTGAGCACCTGTTTCATTACAGTCCAGCAATTCAGATCATATTCATCTAATGTCAGTGACGACAAGACCTATGCATAATTTTTTATTTTCCATATTTATTATGATACATATCATGTTAGGTCCTGGCCTTTAAACCCTTTAATTATTGATATAGTAAACTGGCTAAAGCATATACCAGGACGTGGTGGCTCACCAGCCAATCTGGTATTGTTAACAGCTGACTTCTGTATTTGTGTGCTGGCGATTCATTGCAGGTGAACATCGCCCTTGTTGCCAGTCGATGCTGGATCAGGTTTGTTTGTTTGTTTGTAAAATTTTATGCAGTAATTCCCAAATATAATCCTTCCGAATGGGTTTCTGAACTAAAGTGGCCTCTGTTATCAACACTGCCTACAAGTTGGTTGGTTCAGCTATTCCAGCTATATGGCGGCCTGTAAATAATCGAGTCTAGACTCGACAATCAAGGGATCAACATCATAAGCATCGAGGATACCACCCGATCCCGTTACTCGCCTCTTATTTCAAGCATTGGTTGCTCAAGACTAGTTTTAACGCAGATCGTCATGGCTTTGGTGACATTTAATTACTGCTACGGGACTTATACCGCTTTGCATTTATGGAAATATACCTTAAATGTAATACATGAAAGGAAGTATATTTCTGTTCTATGATTAATTATAATCTATTACGCTACGTCAATTTCATCTTCAAAATCGATGTGATAAAGCTCATGCATTATGATGTGTCCTACATGAGATGAATGCAGTCAGTGCACGTATATTTGAATGTATATAGATACATTATGTTTACACAATGCAAGGTGGGAGAATATACAATAATAACATTATGATCACTACTGACTGACTGACTGAGTTTGGTTTTACGCCGCTTTTAGCAATATTCCAGCAACATCACGGCGGGGGACACCAGAAATGGGCTTCACACATTGTACCCATGTGGGATTCGAACCCGGGTCTTCGGCGTGACGAGCCAACGCTTTAACTATTAGGCTACCCCACCGCCCCCTTATGATCACGAAGCCATTTAGATATGATTAAATAGGATTAATGCACCAAGAAAAATATAACGACAAAGCCAAGAATGGGCGGGGGCTTTAGGTGGGTGATATTTCACACATCCATCCTGTAGGGTTTGGACAGCCAAAATAAACGTCAATTTCACTTCAGGCAGAACACGAAAATAACCCATGTTACATACCAGCGTAAAGGTCCCACCCAGTCCACAACAAACCCTAGAGGAACTGTGGAGACAAATACACAGGAGAGACATCACGTCCCATAGCCACCAGGATAAAAGAGTAGAAGGACCTTGTAGAAAAATCTTATATCTTTCAGAAATCTGCCCTTTCTGAACACCGGATCAAACATCCCGTCCACCATATTACCTGCAACAAACAACGATTCTCCATAACAAAAGCAGCCACTGTGAAAAGAGGAAACTTCAAGACAGCATCGAAATCCAAAGACAGAAGCCAGCCATTAACCGAGACCAAGACATGCATCTAGGTTTCCAGTGTGTCCACCATTGTGCTATGATAATTGGCCTTTACATAGTTACTGATAACCCCATTGGTGTTGTCCTTACATTGTTATGTATACATTAATCTAATCTAGAATTCACTCAAGTAAGTCAGTACCTTAAACACATTTGTGTTCAATAAACATTTTACAGATAGTGGCAACAACAGAATGCATGAACATTGGCGTCATAAGTTGGACTATATCGTCACTGTGCTCGGATATGGTATCGGATCGGGCACATTCATCAGGTTCCCCTTCCTCTGCACAAGGAATGGTGGTGGTAGGTGCTATCTGTGTAATGTTAGCACTAACATGAGATACTAACATGTGGGGACAAATATCTTCTGGTCAGCTTTCCCTCTCCTTATGCGATATTGCAAGCTGCCAGTAATTGTACTTCTTTGACAACCGGACCCTGAATAGATGAAGAATATATTCTCCAAGACATCCACAAATGCCACAAATTGCGTGAATTGATGGATACCGTGACGTTCACAGTGCACATTCTCAACGTGTCTACATTATGTTCCAACTCCTCGTCTCTGTCGTGGCATGGTCGTGACATAATTGTTCTCTGTCGCTGATGATTTGTGTAGACACAGTTCTGTAATAACTTTTCAAAAGAATTATGACATGTATTTACACTACCCCTTTCAGTTCTGTATTTCCAATCCATTCTTAAACGACAGAATCGCTGACATTGTAATCGACTACAAGTAACCAATGTTACTCTTTCATCTTGAACAGGTGCGTTTCTGATACCCTTCCTGCTGTTCACCATAATAGTTACCATGCCATGTGTCTACCTGGAGATGGTCATTGGTCAGTACCCACAGAGTGGACTCTATCAATGTTTGGAATCTGTGTCCGCCTTTCAAGGGTATATCCATTCCCCTTCTTTCTCTCAGTAATGTCGTCATTTAGAACAACTATTAAACCTGCATGAGCAGAGAGTTTAATATGACATAACTATAATGATAAAGAAGGAATTCCAAATATCTTAAAACTGTATCATAATATATGTATATATGTATATATGTATATATGTATATTGATATTGTATATTGACACACTTCATTAATAATGGTCAGTGATTGCGTCATTGTACAAATCAAATGTTCCTTCCTGCATGTATTGGGTTAGGTGGGGTCATTTATTCTTTTCTCCATTCCACCTACTACAGCATCATCTTCTGCTGACTCATGTTCCATGCCCTATTGCCAAAATCAAATCTTCCTTCCTGCAGGTATTGGTTTGGGTGGAGTCATATACTCGTGGGTATATTCCACCTACGTCAGCGTCATTTTCTGCTGGTTCATGTTCTACCTCTACCATTCCTTCTCCGACAACTTTCCTTGGAACAACTGTGACAACCACTGGAACACTATTGCGTGCACATCCTACAATTTAGAAAACACCACATGGAATAACAGCACCAGTTACCCTACTCGTGATGAAACGGTTGGGAACGTTTCTTCAGGTTCTGATGGAATTGACGATCGCCTGTCTGCTGCTGAAGAATTCTGGAGGTATTATTATTATATTCCAAGAGCAGAATTCTTAATACCTTTACGTTATTTGTGTATGTATATGTTTGTGGACATACTTTAAGACAGAAGTAGTGTAAGTCTAACGGTAGCCTAACATTGGTTGCTGATGATCTTTAATTCGTTCTTATCTTGGATCTTTTATATCGTGGTATTTGTAATGGTTGTATAGTAGTTGTAATGCTAATCTGTGATACTCCAGTTGTTTTACTGCACTACTTAGGGGCAGTGGGGAGCCTGGTTGTTAAAGCCGTCACGCCAAAGGCCCGGGTCCGATTCCCCACATGGGTACATTGTATGAAGTCCATTTCTGGTGACCCCGCCGTGATATTGCTGGAATATTGCTGAAAGTGGCGTAAAACCATACTCATTCACTCACTACTTTGACAGGTTATAGAGTCTCGATGTATTCGTCTCGCCACTGCGTGGTCAATGTTGTGGCAGGCTAAATATATATCTCAAGCAAAACTTGTGATAGGTTGTTTTACTGTCCTTTGTAGACAAGGTTATATGTTGTAACAAGTAACTCCTGTATTGCTGAAGTACTGACTAATATGTTATGTTATATATTCGGTAATAAGAGCTTGCCATATGATTGTCCTTTAACTTCAACTTGTGATACACCCGCTGCACAACAAAACTGTGTAAATACAAATAGCTTTCTTAAGTCTCATATAATGAATCTCTGTATATCTCCTGAACCCATATCATTAGAAGGCGCAATTTTGCACAGTTCCCATAAAAGTGAATTGAACACACTTTCTCACCTCACTATGTGTTGTTTGGTGGCCGATTTAATTAGATTCCAGGTGCTGCAAGTGACAGGATGGTCTGGAGAATCTGGGTGGGATCAGGTGGCCTCTTGCAGGGTGTCTGGTGGTCACAATGGGACTTCTGTTTCTTTTGGGTTTCTCAAGAAATTAAAGTTACCGGAAGGTACATACAGATACAAGGGGTCTCAATTGGGTGGCAGGTCCTAACATTAAGCTATTACAAGCACACTTTAAAGTATGCCCTTGATTTGAAAACTGAACATATTCAAAGGAAAGGTGTCTCTGATAGGTAAGGACTCGATTTCTAACTGCTGTGACCAGTCTGACAGTTATACCACAGACCCCTCACCGTCATGTATGATGATGCAACGTTTAACACTTTGTTAAAATCTCCGAGGCGTAAAGTGTTGACAACCCCAGAAGCATAAAAAGAAGTATCTGCGATTCGAACCCACGATAATATGTTTCTTTCACACCATGTGTAGCGACTCTTGTAAAACTAATCGTTTGCCCTACACGATCTAGAAGTAGTGGCGTGTATATGTATATTGTAATATCCAATGTGTATTGTTGGTTCAAGTACCACTTGATCATACATATAAACTTATTAACTTGTTTGTTCCCTTAAGCTTGTGTATGTCACCGTGGCTATTCCCTACATCCTTCACACCATCTTCCCTCGTCCGTGGCTGTCTACTACCAGGATCCGCAGATGGGATTTATTACTATATCAACCCCATCTTTGAAAGGCTAAAAGACCCAAAAGTAAGTTATAAGTCTCAACTCTTACCGTGAAATGTAATCTATTACTCAATCAACCAATTCTGAAAGGCTCAAAGACTCTAGAGTTAGTGGGATGGTGTTACCCTCATCTTTTCGTGAACACTTTGTGCCATCACTGACTTTCAATCATCAATACATATAATATATTCACTGCTATTTTAGCTTTACTCAAGACATATTATTCTCTGGTGTTGATGTTTCATATTTAAATTGAGATTTTTACAAAACTGATAAAATTATATCACCTTTAAAACATGCTGATTTAAAAAGTGAAAATATAGCGGTTGTAAAAGTGAAAGGAACCAATGTTTTCATTGCAAGATAAATCTGCGTTCCTCTTCAGAGCTGATGACGTCACTATTGTGTAACAGCTATTCAGACAGACCAATCCCTATTTGCATGTGAACAAATAAATGGTTTCCCATTTTTATATAGGTATGGATCGAAGCACTTGGTTACAGCATGTATTCTTCTTGGTGTGTCTACAGGGTGTATTGCCACAATGGCTGGCCACAACGTGCATAAACAACCGCTTTGTCTTAAGTATGTTGCGGCATCGGAAGTAATGCTTTCAGTGATCCATTCATATGATTTTCTCCCTATGTTGCCTTATCAAACAGTGGAATCTGTTCCGACGGAGAATACAGACTTGTTATGTTGAGCATCAATGCCATAAGGTCTGAAGCTACGGACACGTTAAAGGCATAAGTTACTGATGACTATTCTCTGTGAGTTAACAGTTTTGTTAGATACACTTCCAGCGTATAACATATAACATCGTGATGATCTGGGTTAGGGTTGGTCTTCAGCAGCAATCGCTTATGCAAGATACATGACTCGAACTTGATCAGGTATGTGTTCATTTGATTTGTAAAAGTTGTCAAATTTGATTTGTAACTCTTGACAATTTCTTCCTTTCACTTTCCCTGTGGATATGTGCCGATATGTTCTGCCCAAAAAGAACCCGTGACGATCCGGTTAGATGTTTTCCCAGCAACACATGCTTGTCCGAAGTAAGAGGCGACTAACGGGATAAGGTGATTTGGCCCGCTGATTTAGCTTTCGATGTTGCATAGCGTTTTATCGGTGTATGTCATCGTACCGAAGCCAGTGTAGATCGTTGGATTTGGTGGATTGTTCCGGTCCGCCACTCGATCGCTTACAGACGTCAGTCATTTAGCTGAGAATTACTTAGTGTGACATTAAACAACAAAAATAAGCAATACCGCCAGCTGCGTTGTTATTATGGTCCAGGTTAGATTATCTTGTACAGACGCGATTATGTAACAGATCGTTTGAATACTGCCGAGTGCGACATTCAATGCCCACCCAATCTGCGTTTCTCTCCTCCCAGGATGGCCAAAGTGACTCGGCCCTGGTTGACGCACCATCGGTGTCTCCATTGGCTTCGGGCTCTGTTTTCCGCCTCATTTGTCACCTACGTTGCCCATCTGATTCGCGATCGTCCAAGGAGGACTGGCAGTCATCATGTCCAGCAGAATGAACCCAAAGCCACCTAAAAAGCAGACATGTGGTTTGGATCTTGCCAAAATTGCTATCGGTCATCATTCTTACTCCATGTTCATGCCGGTCCCCAGCCTGTCTTATCCCAGCTGAAAAGCTTAAAATACAGTTCGTCTGATGTAACAGGATACCATGCACATGTTATGTTTCCAAAATGCCAAATACTAAGCACGGAAATAGTCGAATGGATTTGTACTCTTCAGGATTCAGCCTTGCCTGCATTGTGTACCCGGATTTCTTGGCCTCGCTTCCCCTGCAATCGCAGCCATGGTTGGTGCTGCCGTCTTCGTTACGCCGGTGTCACGCGCAATAGCTCCCACGGGATAGACAGACCCATTATTTCGGCTGAGGTGTGTTCCTAATACCACTCTGAACAGCCCGAGCCGCCCACCATTCATGACTGCAGCCCTGGTAGTGGGCGACACACCGAGGAAGTGTGGCACATCCGACTTGTCCCGCCCCCTGCCTGAGTTATGAGCCTATTGCTACCCCGAGTGTTCGTGAATTTATGACAATTCTTTTTATTTCTTTTCTAATTTGTTTCTTACTATTTTTAGCCCATAATTTCTGGTTAAGACCCCTCAATGTCCTTACAGGTCTATAGTTCAGCCTGTAGTGGAGTCCTTACCGGGATCATCTCCTCATTTTAAACAAAGTATTTCAACAGTGGGAAATTAAGATTGCGAATCTCATAAATGGACCCTGCCAGTTGTAGAATATTCAGGTTTATATTCAACTTACCGATGAAATTTGTTTAATTAAATGATTCATAGTTTCAATTAATATTATTGGTCTGTATTACAATTTAGGGTAAGCAGTAGTTGGAAATGGTTGTTCAAATGCTCGTGCGGTATGCAACAAGCGTTAACTCTCTACCAAACTCCTGCATGCTCTGGGTGTTTCTACTAATGCGTAAATTCCCATTGTAATACAAACCAATAACAGCGCTTTGAAACTATGATCGTTTGAGCAAACAACTTTATCCTAAGCTGAATATAATTCTTGAGATTTCAAACGTTCAATAGGCAACGTAAAATTATAAGCATTTTGCAATCTTAGTTTCAATTTTATTTGATTTACTTTTTTAAAGTGATATCTACATCAAAATAAGCTCACCGGGAAACAGATCATAAGAAGTCGATTGCACGTGCATGCACGGGCTTTTTGTACCGTGGATTTCCGCCATGACGCGTAAACACACCAGTTCGGGTATGCGAATGATTTCGCGTAGCCCAACATGCGCAATATTACCGATAATTGACATTTGAAGCTGGCAGACTCAATGCGCATGCGTTCTCTGGGACTCGGTATGTGGCATAGAAAGAGATTTGGAAGATCACTCGTCTGCTCTGCAAGCGGATGCTTGTAGCGATACGGTAGAGGATTTTCTTTTCTCTCAAATTGGCAGTTCGTTAGCGTCACATTTCTACGATCTGGAAGATTTTGAAACAAATCGAATCCAATGTGAGTCCATTGAAATAAAATTATATTTCGGCCGTTTATTGTGTCTCTATTGCTTCGGTAGGGAATTTAGAAAGTGTAGGTGTATCATTGATACACCTATTATTTCTTTGACAGGTGTATCGGTCAATACACCTACACTTTTAACAAAGGAAACCATGGCAACGAGACCGGAAGCGGGGAATATAATGGTAAGGTATACTTCTTAAACAGGGCCGTGGTGTAGCCTTGTACGTAAAGCGATTCCCCAATGAGATACAATGTGTGTGAAGCCCATTTCTGGTGTTCCTCGCAGGGACATTAATAGAATATTGCTCAAAAGCACTCACTCACTCACTTCTTTAATACCTGATCACGTTTTACCAATCTGGACGTTATTACACCTTTTCCGTTTCAGGAGGAGTGAGTTGGCTTTAACCCCAATTCTTTGAACAGCATTTCACTTGATATGACGGTCTTCAGAGCGAGGAAAGCCTGAAGTGATGTATTAGACGTCTAACATTGAGGAAAATACATACAATATCGATTGGGACGAGTCGAGGTTCGAATCCAAAAACTTTGGCTCCATTTACTTCGACACATATACAAACCTTTTCCTTTCTCCTTAGGGTGTAACATACCTGTTTCTGGAGACAATAACAAGGAATGATGCTACATTATTCAAATTTACTTCGGTCTATATAACTAATTAAAGTTTCTCTGCACTCTCGTCAGTGATTTCCACATATCTATTCAGGTACATTTGTTGTTTACATAGGTATATTACCTTTGAGACGAATTGTTCTGCGGCATAACCCGTGAAGGTCCGGGTTAGAATGAACCTTCAGTAACCCATGCTTGTAAGAGGCGACTAACGGGATCGGGTGGTCAGGCTCACTGAATTGGTTGACACATGTCATCGGTTCCCAATTGCGCAGATCGATGTTCATGCTGTTGGTCACTGGATTGTCTGGTCAAGACTCGATTATATACAGACCATCGCCATATAGCTGGAATATTACTGAGTGTGGCGTAAAACTAAACTCACTCACTCACTCTCTCCTACTGGCCATACGAGCTCCTTTTGCTATGTGTTGCCTATCAGACTGTTCATTTAAGATCACGTTACATGAATACATTTTCGTGGATACCAACCCTCAAAAACAAAAGAATCAAACACGTTTTCAACAACAATTTCTATTTTCATCATGAACCAAAAACGTATAGCAAGTGTACGCATTTTGGAACACCTGCTGCCTGTATTTCGTCACGTTTGATTGGTTGCTGGCGAACAATAGCAAAACATCTATATATTAAACAAATGTTATCATTCGTGATATATTTTGGTTATATACTAGTTATGAATACAAATCGGTTGTAATCTAGTTGTTGTTGTTGGCCTCTTTTGGCAGGTAACTCGGTACAAAAGGCTTTGGTCGAGTCAGTACATGGCTTATGAAATGCCACTGTGACTCTCACATTTAACTTACTCACTAACTTACCGATGTTGAATTTGCAGGTGCCAGGAATTGATATAATAGTAACAGCACTGGGAGACCAGTTCCCTCTACTGAGAAGACGACGTTGGTTTACCCTCTGTGTTGTTCTTTCTACAGTGCTACCGTTTGGCCTCTTTTATGTCTCTCAGGTACGTCTTGTAGAAGGTTTTCCTCATTATCAGTTGACCCCAATTCAAATGGTGTTATTCCTGAGCTAAGTAAAGAGTGTATGCAATATCACTTTTACACAAAGATTCCAGACTTTTTAGCACGCGGTGCCATTCATTTTAGTCAGTTTGTCAGAGGAACCACACTGTGGGCACAAAGACCTGTATCTGAACACCAAGAGCAACCGGATGCGTGGCCAATAAAGAGGTTTTGTTAGACTCAAGAAATTTTTTGGTAGATTTGTAACCCACTTTAACTAAAACTTACATTGCAAAAAACAGCAATTGTATTTTTGACTGACCTTTAAAACCAATTTTAAGGGCGACATTTCCAGAACAGGAGCCATCTTTAATCGTTCTCATTTCACTTGTTTACACAACTCTGAACAGTGTCGTGTCTGATTTACACTGGGCGACTAATATAAAACCAATACCATTTTTCATTTTATGCTCATTGACTCTTGTCTCGTCGAACGGCACATTGATGTAGATCTAATTAGAGATGGCGTAAACTCCTATAACTTTGTAGTGACCTGGGGCGGCTTGGTAGCCTGATAGTTAAAGTGGGGTGTTCTCTTTGGTTTCTCCCCTTCTCTTTTGCCTGCACGTATTGTTATGGGATGGACATTACTGGAGCAACCTTACAACAATGGGGATGAAAGGTATAGTCTGTTGTAGAAATGCAAGTGTGCTAGCACTTACAGTAAACAGTAAAGTTTATCACATTTTGTTTGTTGCATATAGCACCCACATATATACGAATAGAAGTTATTTCAAAATATGGTGGCATCTTTAATTTTACTAATATTGCATGTAACATCGCTATGCGTCACATCGTTAAAGCGTCCGCTCGTCATGCTGAAGTCCTGGTTACGATGTGATAAGCACAATTTTGGTGTTCTCCGCCATGATATTGCTGGAAAATTGCTAAAATAAAGGCGAAACCATTATCACTCACTCACTCACAATTAGTGACGTAACTCAAGAAATGAATGCTGTCTTATGTACTCTGGCGCTTGTATGTTTGTGTACTTCAATGTTGCATTTCATGCATGGCCGAAATTTCAAGACATTTTAAGAACAGAAACAAAACAATAACCGTTATTTCACCTCGAGTGTGAGAGTTCTGAACAGTGCCAATGCTGCTTTTCAGTTGAATTCATATTTCTAGGGTCCCCATTGTAAAAGTACCAAAATAATGGTAAAACGACAATCACAAGTCTGGTACTGCCAAATTTAGAACAAGCGAGTGTGGTTTTACGCCGTTTTAACATTTCCTAAACACATTGTATTTGTGTGGAGAATCGAACCAGGGTGTTCAGCGTGACGAGCGCTACATGTACTTTGTTCACCCCCTGCAGCCCCGACAAACCGGGAAACACATAGATAAATTAACTTAACCAATGTATAGTCTGCTGAATGGGATTGGTTCTGATGCAATCACAAACTGGGTGCACATGACAAATACATTGATGTATCTGACAAACAAAACTGATGTGTCTGACCATAACATTGATGTATCTGGTCAACATGTTGATGTAAATCTGATATTAGTCAAAAGTAAATTCACACTGCCATAACTTTATAGTAACGTACCCTCAATCAATGAATGCTGGAATATGTACTCTGGACAGTTGTACTTTCCTTTACTTCTAGGGTGGGATATACGTGTTGACACTGGTGGACTGGTTTTCGTACGTCCCTGCCTTAGCACTCTATGCCCTTCTTGAATGCGTCGTCGTGGGCTGGTGTTATGGTAAAATTAGTTGTTAGGACAAGGTTCTTGCTTTTACTGGATCTCATTACCAACACTGTACAATAACATGTTCGTATGACAAGCACATATAGAAAAATATATATTACGGTTGTGTTCGGGACTTCTTCACATTTTTCCCAATACGATGCAAGTACTTGTTATTTTGACTGGTAAGAATTAAATAGAGGACACACTGTACCACACTCTGATGTGTTTGTCCGCGTGTAAACTACATTGTTTAGACTTATTCTATTGGGTGTGATTTTGTTGGATTGTGTAAAGTAAGATATGTTTTCAAGTTATCACTGATGGTTATGTTAAAGTTGGGGGAAGTTGTCTTTGGGGAAAATCCAAAGATATGCACGTGTAATATTATCAGTCCAACTGTGGTCATTGTTCTGTCAAACCAATGTTCATGATCTGGGATTCGAACTAGCGACTGTTGGATGATGGCATACCTTTGTGTTCAATCCGCGGAGTTGACATCAAAGATCCATTCATAAAGATTATTTTGTCCAGCTTTTGTAAAATGTATTCTGTCATTAGTTTGTAGATATTTCATATTAACAAGTAGAACACGTGAACATCTGGGTTAGAATGAGCCTTCAGGATCGGTCATTGTATCCTTTCCCAACTGTGTAGAACCATGCTCAGGATATCATTCACTGGATTGTCTGGTATGGACTCGGTTATTTACAGAGAACGCTGTAGCGGGGTCACCACACAAAATGACTGTATTACCCAAATTTACTAACATTAGGGAATATTATTCGTTTCATCCGAAAGTAATAAGTATGAACAACGTTTGAAATCTACGTATCATCTGGACTGTCAGATTTCCACACACGTTTAAAGGGTGTTTTTAAAATAAATGAACACTCAAGTCTGTATTTACTTTGTATTTCACAGGTGTGTAAATCTGGCCATTATTTTCATGTGTTTTCTAGCATGTGTAACGTATGTAAATGCTGTGATTGTAGGACATGCATTTCAATACCTTTGAAATCTCGTATGACCAGGGTTAGGCTTTTGTCATATATTTAGTACACGCGTAAAATGGTTGGTAGTGGGTAAATATAGTGTTACAAGATTGACACCACTTTAACATGTATTTCAATGGTTCTGTAATGTAACTGTCACATCGGGTTCGTTAGCCATAATGCACGGAGATCATTAGGAAACACATGGCGAAGTGGATACCCATGACTGAGCCCCACTATTAACGTGCGTGTCTTTTTGTTGACATACACGATGTCTGTTTAAAAGGTTACAATATTGGGTCTATGGGCCGGAGCGATATGCATGTTAGGGAGTGTGTGTGTGTGCATGTGTGTGAGAGGGAGAGGGTGTAGGATGGGGTAGGCCTAGGGTGGGGTGGTGGCGGTGGGGGTACTGATAAGCCTTTCTGATCAGTAGGGTAATACCGTTTATACTTTTTGTAATGGAAATTACATTATAGTTTAAATAATTTTACCTTAGGTACACTTCTTATATATGACATACAAGGAGAGACAGCTTATTGCAATAAAACACAGACAGGTGTGTTCACATAGCTGCACAAATTTCATTATCTATACTTCTCGAAAAGATGATTACAATGTATTACTGATGTGAAGAGCTGTGCTTTCGTAGTCTATAAGTGGAGAGACGATACATCCTGATACCAGTTTAATGAGGCGAGACGATATATCATGAGTGAGTGAGTGAGTTAAAGCTAACAGCTCGCAGTGGCAGTATTTCAGCCATATCGTGACTACAAATAGTAATAAATTCATTAAAACCTGTGTTACTATCACACACACAACATCGAGCTGTTGATCTCATACAATTTCAGCACTTCATGTTGAAAGAAGGTACAGTCAAAAACATGTTCAGCACAATCTAAAATACATTTGAAACTGAAGTTTCCTTTGGGAAGTTGTGTTTCACAATAACCAATTCTTTGCACAAACAATTCAATGTAATTTATATCAGAATTCAGAATCACTGAAAAATCCTATATTTAAGTCTGTTGTCTAAATTGTATCTTATCTTTGTTCTCTTTCTTAACAAAGGTAAGACATCATTCATAGTTGTGAATAAATGGTGTTATTTGTCAAAACAACTAAATCATATATTTCAATTGCTTGAAGACAAGTATTGTACAGTTCACAGAAAAAATGTTCACACTTCTATCACCTCTACACCAACTGCTTTGTTCATGTAACAGATACAAACAAATATTCCTACTGTCCAACCAACATTAGAATGAGGTGCGCGAAAGACGCGTTTGTTAAAGGAGAGCTTGAGCGTGTCGTGAACTGATCCACTACCTACTGAAGGGGAACAGGTGTGAAAACTTCGCACGTGTGTTTTGTTATCCTTGGTAAATCACTCTCTGCGCAATGATTCGGAAATGTCGTGTTTCTGCTCGAGCATGTGTATACTAGTATGTTGTAAAGTGGACTGTTAAAAGAGTATCAAACTCTGCAGGCATTTGAAACTTATCATGTCGCACTCTAAATTGGGTAAACGGGGTCAAGTCATTCTTTTACAAACACGTGAGGTTGTCTACAATGTCATTCAGTACATGTGTACTATTTCCGACAGCACACACAGTGCACTCAAAAATGACAGCGATGCTACTGGTATATCTGTCAGTACCTTGCGCAAAATAAAGGACGAAGGTAAACAGGGCGTAGCTACCATTATGAAAAAGCCCGGGCTCACATGATTTTGAAAAGTTGGGCAAGCTCTCAACACTAACTAAATATAAAGCTTTGCAACCTACCATACACGAAAAAATAAAAATTATTTCTTTCTTTATTTTTTTCCTCTTTACACTTCGATGTATTAGTTTGAACACTTCGATGTATTAGTTTGGACACTTCGATGTATTAGTTTGAACACTCGATGTATTAGTTTGAGAAAACATTGTCAACGTGCGATGTGTGCACATGATACTTAACACTGACGTAGTTTCGTAGGGTTCGTGTTGAACATTATTTTGGTCTGTGTACCTCAATGATAACTGTACTTTGAGCTATGACACCTCGGTGAACTGTTAATCAGTGTAATGGCATGTTATGGCTTTGCCGGGTTTAACAGAAACCAAGTCAGAATCTCGCTACTGGAATCAAGAGAGCTACGTGCTGTTGTAAGACCATACCCCTCTTTTACCGAACCTGGAACTGGTATACATTTTCTGGACAAAGAGCTAAGTCATATTCAAGGTTGCCGGTACTTCTCATAGCTACATGCACCAATTGTCCTCCAGGAAGTACTTCCCACATGACGAATGTGAATCTTGCTCTCTCCTCTCGGTGTTCACGGTGTGAATCTATTAGAATGGTGCCCACCTCTCGGACAAAAGATTTTACCAGTCGTCATAGTACATTTGTTTGCAATCACAGGTGCAGTAGTTATTCATTGCTGTCGAATGGTGCTTACAGGTTATTCATTGAAGACAAAAAGATGTTTACCAGTCGTTGTCAAGTTAAGATGATAAGTGCTCAGTGCAGTGCAATATGGAACCCGCAATGTATAGTGAATGGTACATTAGGCTATATTATTCAATGAAGACAAAAGATGTTTTACCAGTCGTTGTCAAGTTATTACGATATGTGCTCAGTGTGGTATTTATGCAATGTATGTATGGTGAATGCAGTGACATAATGGCTATATTGCACCCGCAGGACCATATGAGTGTAAATGAGTATCAACAGGGCACACAAAGGGTCCTGTGTAAACTCAACTGACACCTTTCACACCAAAGTGTGACGAAGGTGGAGTTACTAGAAATACTAAGCTGTATACATGTACATGGGTATACTTTGCTGTACATAACCAACGCATGCATACAAAACATCTGGAGTGACAAACGACTTAGTGAGTGAATACGTAAATATTGCTTAAAGGTGAGTCAGCAAAGTATTGCAGAAGTATTTGCAGCTAAGTTTGTAAGAATTTATGGCGAAACACTTAATTGTGTATGATTATATCAAAAGTGTGATATTTATCATCCAAAATGTCTTCTCGAGGAACTACGGAAACATAAACGACCCACTCTACTAAAAATTCATTGTGTATGTAGAATATTTGTGCATATAATATAATGTGAAGCGGTTGCAATGGTATGTATGTATGTTCGCCCACGTGTTGGAAATAAAACACTCATACACTCACTTTGACTTCTATGGCATGTTTGAACAAACACAGCTGTTAACCTTAAATGATCTTGAAGAATATCTCATTTGTAATCGGTGTGATGGTCTGAAAACTATAATACGATAATGATCACGTGACCAGCTACCTTAAACTCTTTGGGATTTTTTCATTTGTTCCCATAATTGAATACAAGCATATAAAGTAAAGCAAAAAAGTGTACATATGCATGATCAAAGTTCATCAACTGGTGGCATGAAGAAATTATAATGCAATAAAGTTATTCAAGTTTGATTACAAATTAAGTCAGAGAGATTGAAAACTGAGGATAAAGGAAACCATTTCTCTGAAAAATTATCAAAATTATTGTTCCTTCTGGATATGAATTTTTCAACCGTGTAAGGTATCTTTAAAATTTTAAAGACATTATTAACTTTGGAATTCTATTCTTTAAAGTGCAAGTATATATATATGACTTTTAGCATAAAGATTATATGATTTAGCAATGGCTTATTACTAAAAACCAAACCAAACCAAAGTCTTTCTTATTTCAAATTTCTGTTTGTTTTGGATTATCCAGTTTTCAAGTTCTTTCCAGAAGGTTTGGGTTACAACACATTCCCAATATACATGACAATCATACCTTTACAATTATTCAGTTTTGAAAACGTCTTTCATTGAGGACTGCTTACACTGGGTGCCGCTCCTTTGCAACACGACGGAAAACATTTTGTCCAGGTTTTCACGGTCGCCATTGTTCTCATAGTAGCCGAGTAGGCCTTCGAAATATTTGCTTATGTTATCAAAGCTTTACTTTGGGATTTTGTTCTTTGTAAAGACATATCTCTTCTTTTCCT